CAGGAACCTCTCCCGCCCGTGGCCAGCGGGCCGCCCAGAACCTCCGCCGGCCTCCGGGGGGTTCAGACCTCGGCCCTGCTCCCTTACCCGCCCCCGCGCGCCAGCCACGGGCGCTCACGGGTAGACTGCCCGTGAAAAGGGAGGCTTTACGGAGCCGTCCGCAGCAAGAGCCGGGGGGCGCGCCCTCCCGGTTGCCGCCGCCCGAGCCCCTGGCTGGCCCCGCCCTGGGCGCGGGAGGGATGGTCAGAAGGCGCTCTGCACATGCTCCACGGTCGGGCCCCTGTTGCGTCCGAAATGTTAGACTGGGGACTCTTCGCTCCACCGGAAGGTCGGTCGGGAGGTCCCTTTGTTGGCCGGTTCCAACCGCGGCCAGCCTTTCCAGCCCCCCCACCCGCGGCCCTGAGTCCCTTCCGAGGACGTGCGGCCTCCCCACGGCTCCGTCCGCCACGGCCCGGCTCCGCCCGTGCACGCTTCTCCAGCCCGTCGTGGCTTCCTTGAGGCAGTCCGGCCATCTCGTGTTAGCTCCTCCTCCTTTCCTGCTGCCTCCCACCTTTCCCAGTGTCTTTTGGGCTTTTCCAGAGAATCCGCCCTTTTCTCGTCCTGTCGCCAAAGCAGGACAGCCGGGAGTCCAGCCAGTTTAGGGTCGCTTGTGTGGACATCCGCATTTTCCTGCCCCACAGTGGGGCAGCGTCTAGTGCTTATTCTCAATTACAGTTTTAGTTTCACAGCGTCTTTCTGCTCTTCTTAATGTTCATATTTGTACTGTCAAGTCTAATATTTGTAAAAGACTGTTTATTAAGGTTGAAAATGCTTTTTGCTATGAAAAGGGTCACCAAATGTATTTCATTTGCAGTTTGGCCCAGAGTTTGACAGCACCTGGTTACAAGCAATTTCATTATTGGTAAGTACTCTGTAGGATACTGTATTTCTTTTAATATCTTTAATATTTTCAGGATAAGTGAATCAGTGGTTAAACCGCTGTCCTGCAGCCAAAACTGTGCTCACGACCTGGGGTTCAAATCCCAGGTAGCCGGCTCAAGGTAGCCTCAGCCTTCTATCCTTACAAGGTCGGTAAAATGAGTGCCCAGCTCGCTGGGGGGGGGGCAGGGTGCAGCCTGCATAATTAAATTATAAACTGCCCAGAGAGTGCTTGAAGCGCTATGGGGAGCAGTATATAAGCAGCAGGCTTTGCTTTTGGCTACCGAGCCTGCAGACACAGGGGCCCTACTGAAGTTACATTTTGAATAATGAGGGTGTAACCCTAAGGGTGTAGACCCAGCATTTCAAAAGTAATATCGTGAGTAGTTACAAGACTATTTTTACTATTAAATTATTTTCTTAGTTATTTTCAAAACTTCTTTTAAAAGGCATTTTTAAGTGCTTTCAGAGGTGTTCTGATACTTACTTACTTACTTACTTACTTACTTACTTACTTACTTACTTACTTAATGCCCATCTGGGCAGTTTACAACAATTATAGACAGAAACAATAAAATAACAAATTCTTCAGATCTTGTGCCATTCCGTGACCAAACTTCAACTGCTTCAGGAACAATAATTTTCTCTTGAAGGGGCAGTGGTCATTTCTTTCGAGATGCAATATTGAAGGGCTGACGTTGGAGGGAGCCAATGCTATAAAGAAAACAGAAGTGAAGAATCATGAGTATTTATGCTTTTCTGTCCTGCTTGTAAGATGGAGTAGACTGGAGTGAGCAAAATAGAGTCGATCGATCAGAATTCTGGGATGCTGCTTGGTGCTATCTTTGCCTCCAGATGGCCTATGGACCGGAAGGAACCCTGTTTAGTCCCCACCAGCCATGTTGAAATGGAAAGAGGAAGTCTTCCTTGGGTCGGTTCCCAGCAACCATATGTGTTACAGACAAACCACACAATCCTGCTCGCTCCCCCCCAAAAAGTAGAAGCCCCTTGACAGGGGGCCAGAAAAGTGCAGCTTGGAATGCTCTGGGGGGGGGCAGGCTGGTTTGGCTCCAGCAAAAACAGGGTCTGCCTGCCGTTTTTAAGAGTGCACCTGCCTGTCTGCGCCGTGCTCCAGACAGCGCTCCCCACGGTGCATCCCAGAAAATTCCATTCCCTACATTCCCATTCCATTTCCCTTCTTGCAAGAAGAGCCAGCCTGGGTGGCCTTGGGCAAGCTGCACACAGTCCCGGAACTGCCTCCGGAAGAAGGGAGTGGGGAACTACATCTGAGGACTCTCTGGCTACAAAACCCTGAAAAGGATTGCCATAAGTCGGAATTGGACTTCTTGGCACACGGTTCTTATTGCGTATGTGGCAACATACACAACAGTCTAGTGGGATCCGGCATAACCAGTCAATAAGGCAACAACACAGCCTGGCTGACACACTCTATTGAGTCAACAGAACTAGATCTTAAAAAAAAAAGTTCTGGCATGGCCCACCAGAAAACTGACGGGAGTTTTAAGAATGATATTGCATGCATACAGTCAAGCTGATAAAAACTTCTGGTAACGCTTTCCACTTTTTTCTTGGTTGAGAACACTTGAAAGTGATTTTTGTGTCCCCCCTCCTGGGACTGTACCACTTCCCCAGGGCTACCCAGGTGCAGCCGGGAACTGAGTTCCCGACCCCTGCCAGGTCCTGCAACTACGGTAAGTCGGCTTTCCAGCCAGGGACATGAATTGCACACCCATGAAAGTAACACTGGGTACCCTTCGGACTGATGCCCTTTCGGTGGTGCTGAGTCGGCCGATTCAGAAACTCCCCATGTCCTTTTCGAAAGCTTTTCCAACTCTGCCTAGAAGAATGCCTTTTGCCATTGCTTCGTCCTATTCTGTGTTAGGGTGACCGGATCAGGATTTGGAAGTAACTCAGTAACTTAGTTACTCATAACCAGTTCCTTTTGAGGTTACAAGCTAGTAGTTTCCAAGTGAATCCCTCTGGGACTGGCCAGAATATTTACACCAGAGGTTTCCAGCCTTAGGTCCCCAGATGTTCTTGCACTAACATCTCAGAAGCCTTCACCTCTAAGCTATGCTGGCTCAGACCTCTGGGAGTTGTAGTCGTAAGAACCTCTGGGGGACCCACTGGCCTAGACCACCAAAGTCTTACTGTGGTAACCATACTGCGATTGCTTTGACATTTTCTGGTCCTACATCCTTTTTCACTGCATCCCCAGATGTTCTTAGACCCCCACTTTTCTCCTTAAAAGGACCAAAGGTGGCTTCCATCATTAAAATACAACATTAATGTTAGCAAAGTTTTAATGCAAAGTTTAGTGTCTTAAGACGTGAAGAATTTACAGCATGGTGGTGACAAGCCCTAACTTCGCGCACTTTGCTTTATTTACATGCTGTGTGTGTATTTCACCTCTACTGTCGTATCTCAGCTGACAAAGGTTGCTTTCAGCATTGAAACATGCTCGGGTCCTTGAAGGATTTTCCCCTCCCACATCCCATACAGGTGAAGGCGGAGAGGAGACATCGGGAGGCAGAACCATGGACAGATCAAGTCATCCAATGGAGAGCTTGGCCCTTGGACGTCAGCTCCAGCTTGGGATGCTGTATGACGGTTGCAAAGAGGCCCCCATCCCAGGTAACTGTAGGCAAACGTCAGAGTTTCCCTAATTGTGAAGCCAAGGAAGTCTAAATGCTCATTCCTTCCTCCCTCCCTCCCTCCCTCCCTCCCTTCCTTCCTTCCTTCCTTCCTTCCTTCCTTCCTTCCTTCCTTCCTTCCTTCCTTCC